AGCGTCAGGTAAAAAAAGTGATTAAGCCTTTCCAAACCTGAGCCTCACGCGCCGGCGCCGCCTATGGTATTGGGTATTGGTTTGCATGAATCGCAACCATTTCACATGTATTAGATTCATTCATGTTGAGATAAACTGAGACAAAGGGATTAGGGTATATCTGATTCCCACTCCAGAGCAGAAGGTGGCGGTATAACCACCAATAAACTGGATACCAACCACAGTCTATGATACCAACTAATGTAAACAGAGACAAAAATCAATCTACTTTTAAATGTTCACGGTTGTAAAGATGTGAAACAACAAACATGGCTTGAACAATAAGGCATGCTACATTATTGACTGCTCTTGGACACTTCCATGGATGTATTAAGAGAACTCTGCCATGGTTTGATTTTGACCGCGATCTGGCGGGAAAGGGTTTCCCCTGCATCCTGTGTGCACTCGCGATATTTGGGCATAACCGTAAACTTAACCATCATCATCGCGAGAGAGGATCATTGAGACAAGAAAGACCGTTGGCGAAAGTTGGAGGAGGTAAGCAGAACACATTGTCATCTAACTGTGAAGCTGTTAATAAATGTCATCAACTGCTAGTCCATGAGCGATATTGTGGTAACGTTGATAGTTAATTTGTTATTTAGTGTTATTTTTTATCTCACTTAAAAAGCCGAATGAGCCGACAAACATGCTAAAGCTAACGTCGTTAACTAGCTAGTCTGTGTAACTGCCAGTTAGGGAGATGGTTCAAATATAGGATATCAGGATTGAAAACTAAAGGACGGTAGCATTACCCTGGGAAAGTTAAACGGAAAGTGTGCTACCCCAGGCGCTTATATATGTCAGTAATATCAGCCCCTTTTACAAAGGAATGTTGTGCCGTTATTCGGCTGCGTCACGTACATTAGCTGCCAAGCTAGCTGCCATGCGGAGCTAGCTGCCATGCGGAGCTGACTGCCACTGTGGTTTTCGCTCTGCAGTTAATGTTACGTGACGGATGCCGCTCTGCCAGTGTCGGTAGTCGCACTCTCTGTCTGATAAGGGGACTGATAAGGTTTGGTGTAAAAAAAAGCAGGTTCTCTGTAACTTAACTTTCATTGGTCTCTCAATTTTTCACAGCAATTTGTGACTGCAAAAGTTCCTGTGGCTGCTGTCCGTAGTTGGTTAACTAATCTTGCTCTATTGTGGGTTGACCTGTTTCTAGCAGTCACAAAAGTGTATCACTCTATATAAAAATAAAGGCTTTGATATAACCATAAGTCTGCAGATAAAATACAATGCTAATAACCATAGTAAGTGGGGCTCATGTGTGCTAAATACAACAGGTAATACAAATAAATAAATAGGAGAAGCAGACATTTATCAGTTTTAGTAGCCTCATCAACTGAATAAATTAGCCCCAGAAGTGAGGTTGAAGTCATGCAAATGTACATTTTATGTTTGTTTTAATTAAGCTCTTTATGTGTTTTTTGTCTCAGATCAATGGACGATTTTGTGTGTGACACGTTGACACAGTGGCAGTTGACAGACGTTATTGATAGATTTAAAGGTAAGAACATGTTTTTTTTTACGTTCACAGCAAGCAGATGGTCTGTATAGCTAGGTAAAGGAATTATTTGAAATGGCATTGACTGCATTGTATTTTATGTTACTGAAAATGCATTTTTATTCCAATAGCTTCCATGTAATTAGCCTCTTATTTTTTGCTGTTCTCCATGGTTTAAATAGATGTCCTTGTTTTTTGTTTTTTCAGACGAGGGAATTGACGAGGAGAGTTTTCTTCTTTTAGACGAGGGGACCATCAGCCAATTGATTCCAAAAGCTGGCCCCAGGCTTAAGTTCCTCAAAAAATGTAGAGGACTTGTAAGTATAGTTAGATCACTGCAGATGTGAGAGGCTACACCCCTCCCCCACACACGCATATTCATTCTGAGGATTTGTTCAAATTTGTGAGCAGATGGCATATATTTGCTTTAAATGCAAAAGGCAAATTCCAGGGGATGCCAAGACTCTCTTTCAACATTTACGTGCAGTACATCATGTAAACCATTCATCAACATATTTCCAATGTAGTGAAACTGGTTGTGGTAGAACATTTTCTTTTATAAGGTCTTATAGAAGACACCTATTAAAGGAGCATGAAAACCAAAGTGATACTCTCGATGATCCCCTTGAAGGTCCAGCCCAGCCTGTTGACATACAGCTTGCTGAAAATGAGCCTGTACAGGGAGATGAGGAAGTTGAGGATGAATGGGATGAACTAGGGCAAGATGACATGACCAACCGGGTAGCCCTTTTTTTAGCTCATCTGAGGTCTAAACCTTCTGTAATTAGTAAGGATGATCTAAAAAAGGTTAAAGGCGCCATGCATCAATCAGCAGCTCAAATGTGGTGCCTACTTAGGTTGCTGCCGACAATGATAGGTGACCTGGTCCCCATGCATAGCAAGGAATGGAAACTTCTCCTACTGTTACTGTTATGTATGGAGTTCATCTTCTCTCCTTCTCTTACTGTTGAAGCAACACTGTACTTAGCTAAAATCCTTGAAGAGCATCACTCTCTCTTCCTGCAGCTCTATCCTCTTCACCATTTGCTGCCAAAACACCACTTCATGCTCCATTACCCAAGAGCCATTCAAAAGCTCGGACCCTTGACTCAGTTTTGGGCTATGAGATTCGAAGCAAAACACAACTTTTTTAAACGGGTTAGCCATGTAACATGCAACTTCCGAAACATTTGCAAAACCATGGCCTTTCGCCATCAGATAGCGCAGTGCTATAATTTGCTGTGTGGAACTGTGTTGAGCCACAATACAGAAGTTGGTCCAGGGCACACTACCTTTCTGGCCAACATTGAGGGAGTTAAAGACATCGAAAGTGGTCTAACAGGCATTCCCCTTTTCAGTGAATTGTATGAACCAGCCTTGGTTACCTTTAAGGGAACTGCATATCGAGCAGGCATGACTGTATTCCTGTCTTATGACCCAGATGGGGAGCCCCAATTTGGTCTCATAAAGTCCATTTTAGTACTAGACCAAACATCACACACACCAACAATAAAACTTGTTGTACAGAAGTGGGAAACACAATGGTTTGATAGGCATTTCTTTGCATACAGTGTGATTCCCACTCAAGTTTTGGCAGCTGTTGATGTGAGAGAGCTGCTTGATCACCATCCCCTACATGCAGTGAAGTCATTCAGCGAGACTGATGACAGTTTATACATTTCACTGCGCTATAGACTTTTTTAGAAAATCAGCTTACTGCCACCAAGTGTGTGTACAGTAGGTATGACACTTTGTAAATAGCATTTTGACTCGTCAAGTCCATTTTTTCCTGCCATATTTGTTTAGTGGTTAGCTATAAATGCTGCTTAAAAGGTGCCTTTGGACTACAGGGATGATCATGCGATGGAGTACTGGGATGTTTCTGTAAATACTGGGATGGATGTGATAAATTGTACAGTAAGTATTTTTTGTTTAATCTGTCTACATATCGTTGCTGTTGGGCAGAAACCTTGTGTCTCCATATTTAAACTATGTTTTTTATATTTGTAAATGTACTAATTCGTCATAGTGTTGTACAAAAGTAGTTCAAATAGATCTACAAGCTCCCAATGTCAAGAGCTTGTCGATTGGCTATTTCACAATTTTTAAATGTTAAAAATTATAAAAGGAACAATTTTGGACATACACGGTTTCCACCCGACGGTGACGATGTACAGTAGTAGTCACTGTCAGTTAAGAAGTTACATGTTTGTTTTATATCTTTTTCAATTTGCCGCAGATCTGCATGGTCCAAACTTGTCGCATTTTTCATTCACTCGGGTGAAAACTTTGGCGTGGTGCATATCTCTCACACCATGCATACTGTGTGCAGTCTTCTGAGTCCGCTGGTGTGGTACACTGATTTACATTACTGATGCTCATCCGGCAATTCTAGGTGGCTGTCACTGTTTGTTACATTAACCTGGATTCTGTTTAGATTGAACCTGCTGTGCCACCTACAAGTCCTGATGTCCAACCAACTGCCACAACTCCACCCTCCATGGAGGACCAAACGGCACCTGTCGTACCAGCGATGATACCTCAAACACTACATATAATTCCACAATTTGTAAGCTCCACTTTTTAAGACTTGGGTTTCACTTTTTTCTTTAATCAACACTAAAGAGTAATAAACGATATCTGTGATGTTGTCCCTTCTTGCAATTTTCTCAGGATATCCGCCAGATTCTCACAGGCTCAACTGAAGGCAAGCTGATCCTGGGGAGCCTTGATGAGGATGTGATCATCCCTTCGCAAAGAAAGTGCCTTGTCCGTATTTTGGTGTCTCACCTCATGGAGAAGTTTGGAGAGAGGTAATTAAAAATAGTGGGTTTTTTTTCTTGTTTTTAGTGAATGTTATGTTAGTTTGAAAAAGGTATATGAATCTTCTTTCAGGGGAAAAGAATAAGACGGGACACTACTTTCAAGTCTGACATTTACCTAGACCACCAACATAAACATGCACAACACATGTACCAAAACACACGTTCAGTAGTGTTTTTAATTTATTAGGATGCCTATTAGCTGCAGAATATGCTACAGCCATTATACTGGGGTGCAACACATGTTTTAGAAATACTTAAGATCTAATTTGACTCTGCTGGTAATTTAGTTTTTCTGTGTTTGCAGTCCTACCAGTGAGACAAAAAAGGCCTTGGCTGCAGCTTTGATTCATGGGTTTCCCTCCTTGAAGGACGAGTCGGACTCAAGCAGTGGCTTCGTAAGTAATTAACATTTTATTGAGGAATTGATGCTAAAACAGTCAGTTGAACACAATATAACTCATCTCCCAGCACCAGAGTACTGGACTTCTGTGCTGTTTGATGCCCGGTGTTGTCAGACAGACATACAGACAAACCCTGTTCTAGATGGCTCAGCCACATGTTGTCGCCACGCTATCAAAATGTGCCTCATCTCTATTCACCAAAGACTTTCATTTCTTGACAGTGATACTGGTTCACCCCAGGACGGAACCGCCGCCCAGCCACTGGATTCCTCGAAGAGAGGCTTCGGAACGTCAGAAAGAGGATGAGAAAACCGGCCAGGTCACAGAGCACGCAGCAGACACCACCACAAAGTAGTGAAGCTAGCACTCGTAGGACATTCATACCAGGTAATCGTTGGAACTGAATAATTTGTTTAAGCAATACAGACATATAATTTGAGATTGTTAATATCCTTATGTGTACTTTTATAGAATGTACCATATCGGAAGAAAGAGCCATACAGTGTAAAGAATGGCTGAAACACAATTCGCAGCCCCTCAACCAGGTGGAGCAATACATGCAGGATACAGCAGTGTACAGGTCAGTAGGAATGCACTGAGGACACTAGCTGCAGCACTCATTCAATGTCATTTTGCCTATGCATGCACCTCATGGTACTGTAGCACCTCAAGTCATTCAAATCTGAACTACAGACTTCTCAAAACAAACTACTACTAGACCTCTCACACCTATGACCTAACCCCTGCTCATTATGATGCTATAGTGGGATGGCTCAGGGGAGGACAGAGTACAGCAACTTGCAATGGGCCTGGTTTTCAAGGGACCAGTGCCATGTACCTGTCAAAATAAAGGGCACAACACCAGTGGGAGCGCCATTACTCTCTCCCCCCCCCCCCCCATAATCGGCACAAACATGGGGATGAATGCATTTTACTATTATGCTACCAAAATGTGGAACACCCTACCACCAGCCATCAAGAAAGTGCAACTCCTTACCCTCCAAAACTGCCATACAAGAGCACCTGTCTGCAACTGCCCTCAGGGCTTTTTGTGATATCCTTTTAACATTCTTGTACTGCTGTACTTTCTGCAAACTATCAAACAGGGCCAAGTCTTTAAGGGAAAACGGGTGGGACATTCAAGGGATCCGCCAAGAGTTCCCACATCTATTCACTCCAGGCATGGTAAGTTAGGAAGGAGTATATGTTTACATATGATGTGGATGCATTGTTTATAACAATCTTTTATCAGTATGTCAGCTGCCACATTGAATTTTCTTTTTCAATTTTTCATTTAGATTGCACAGGACTTTCAGATCCTACATGGAGAGGCTGCGCCTAAGCTCTTCGAAACCTGGCTACCTTTGTTTAAAGACAAGATCCTGCACCTGGCGAGACGGGAAGGGAAACTTATCTCGTCGCTTGATGGATTAACACCCGGTAATACATTGTTATATTGTACAGCAGACTTTATTTTGCTACTAAATGACCAATTCACAGATATGCCATGCCACATATTGATACCTATAAAATTGTCTTCCTACAGATTGTTTGGGGGAACTTGCTCTGAGCCAGTTACCAACACTGCTTCCACCAACTGTCTACAGGGTTGGCCGAAAAGTGTTCCGGTACACTATCGAGGAGTCTAAGTTGGCCTTCATCGATCATAAGCCTGTAAGTCCCTCTGCATATCTAAAGGGAAATGTTATTCTTTTAATCACTTGAACCCAGCATCCATATTCTTGGGGGGGGTGGCGGGGACATTAGCCAAACATGGCAGCTAGATCGGCTATTTTGGCGAAGAGATTTGGTGAAGATGGAAAACAGTGGTCTAAAGTACAGAGCCAACCCAGGTCCAGTTTAAGTGGTTAAGAATGTGCCTGACTGCCTGTTATTCCTGGGCTCAAGAATAATTCAAAACATTGTTTCTGAATATGCATTGTATCAGCCACTGCCAAATCTTGCTTACTCTTTGCTTTTGCACAATCTTTTACTTTGTTTAATTTATCTTGTCTTTTGTTCTTTATTTCTTTCTCAGGTTGGAACAAACTTGGTGGAGTACCTCCATGAGGCGAAGGTGTCAAGACCTTACCCATATGTCCTGTCCCTGGGAAACGATATTTGGCACACCTCTCAGGCGTTCGTTATTCTTGATGGGGAGGCGTTGGAACAAAACACATTGCTTCAGGCAGTAGATGTCTGTTTCAAGGTATTCTATATCTTTGACATCGACTACACAAAGCAGTGTGAAGCTGTATGGAAATTCCTCCAAAATGCAGTGTACGAAATCAAGGGAGGAGAGGAGTCAAAACCTGCTACGTCCTTGCGTGCAGCAATACTTGCTTGCAAGTAGACTTGTGGTCTTGATCCTTTTATTTTCTTCTGCTGGTCCTCCTGTTCTATTCTCTCTCTTCTGCTGCTTGGCTCAGAGTAGGGTTCTATCTGGTTAAATTAAATATTGCTGGATTTGTGAAGTGTGTGTGTGTGTGTTATGTTCAAAATACTACCTAATGCTCAAAGTATTTTATGAGCAAGTTGTGTGCTAAAAAAAGAGCTAAATGGTGGAAGCATAAATTGTTAAAATGTTTATTTGCACATCTTAGTTTCCTGTAGTTCGGATCACCTAAAGGAGCAGTACATTGTTGTGATCATGTTGGAGGATTTTCTTTGTAACGTTTACATAGCCAGTATATGAACCAGTCATTTCTGAAAAAACGTATGTTGCTATTAGTGGTTCTCAAACCAGAGCTTGTAGATCTGCTAATGTGTGTTGTTTACAGGCTGTACTGTACATGCATAAATGTTAAGTTTTGTTTAAAGAAAGTTTTGCACTTTATTGTGAACTGAATATGTTTGCACTTTATTGAACTGTCAATTGTTATAACAATAAAATGAATATTTTTCTAAGATTCCAACATTGTTTAAAAACGTTTATTGCATATTATATTATTTGCATGACCAAATATAGGATGCATTTTAAAAGGGTTTGTAATTTAAATGTTTAAGAGACATGGGTATTGCATTAAAAACATGACGATAATAACTTGTAGAATTAACCCATCGCAGCTATTATGACCCAGCATTTGGGTGTAATATTTAACCCAATTCATGGTAGAATTAACCCAGGGCTGTAATTAATTTGACCCAGCATTTGGGTGTAATATTTAACCCAATTCATGGTAGAATTAACCCAGGGCTGTAATTAATTTGACCCAGCATTTGGATTAAATGTATAACCCATCTGCTGGGTTAAAATACGCAACCCATTTCGTTGGGTCAAATTAACTACTGCTGGGTTGGTCCAATATTGATCCTGGCGTTGGGTTAAAAAACGACCCAAATTGGGTTGTTTTTAACCCAGCATTTTTTAGTGTGTACTTACCTCCATCTCGAAAGTCATGGAAAAAATAGTATATGAACAGGTCGAAAAGTACCTCGCGGAAAAGAAACTAATCTATGAATTTCAATCTGGCTTTAGAACATCACACTCCACTGACACATGCCCTCTTTATTTGAGCGACCACATCAAACAAGAGGTGGACGAGGGCAAGTACTGTGGCATGGTGATGCTGGACCTACAAAAGGCTTTCGACACTGTCAATCACCCCATTCTGATTGACAAGCTAAAAGCAATTGGTTTTGATAAACTATCGGTGAGCTGGATGCAATCCTACCTGGAAGGGAGAGAACAGATGGTGGAGGTAAATGGTACTCTGTCCCCCCCCCCTCCCAGTGAGCTGTGGTGTTCCACAAGGAAGCATATTAGGTCCGTTACTGTTCCTAATTTATGTAAATGACATGTCATCAGCATGTGACTGCAACTTGTTCCTGTTCGCGGACGACTCAGCCCTGCTGGTCTCTGGCAGGAACAGGTTGCAGGTTGAAAAAACCCTCAGCTCCGAGCTCGGCAGAATCTGCACCTGGCTCGCCGATAATAAATTATCATTACACCTGGGTAAAACAGAGTTTCGGTTCGAAACATAATCTCAGCAAATCCGACGACTTCTCAGTTGCAGTGGGCGACATTATTGTCACAAGTAAGATGGAAATTACATACCTAGGATCTATTCTTGAGGCAAACCTCTCCTGTGACAAAATGGCATCCAATGTAATACAAAAAGTCAATCAAAGAACTAGATTCCTATACCGGATCTCCTCTCTGGTAAACAAAAACACCCTGAAAACTCTGGCAGGAGCACTCATTCAAGGGTACTATGACTATGCTTGCACGTCATGGTACCATAGCACCTCCAAGGCGCTAAAAATAAAACTTCAAACATCGCAAAATAAACTGGTCAGACCTTTCATCTAGAACCCACCTAACCTCTGCCCACTTTGACAACCTAGGATGGCTTAGAGTAGACGACAGAGTACAGCTACTTGCAATGGGCTTGGTCTACAAGATCCACTACACCTCTATGGTACCCATGTACATGTCAAAATTCTTCCCAAAGGTCAAGGAATACCATGATCATAACACCAGAGGGAGCTCCACAAATCATGTGAAACCCAGATTTGGCACAAAAAAGGGGGAATACACGTTTCGCAATTATGCCACATCAAGGTGGAACGCTCTTCCCACAACTGTAAAGGAAAGTAAAACTATACTTACCTTCAAAACCTCTCTTAAAGAGCACCTTCGGGGGAGAGCATTGCAAAACTGGCCCCGGTAATGGTACAAATCTCAACCTGTCGTACAATGGACAGCTTCCCCCCCCCCATCTATGTATATACTCGCATTTTAGACTCTGTTACTAACTGTATATCTGTAGACTTGGTATGTCTTAAATGTCCGGTTAGGATGTATTAGAACGAAATCTAAAATGAAAATTGTAAATAAGCAATCTGTATGTAAAAAACCACCTGTATGTAAATTGTAAATAAGCATCTGTATGTCAAATATGTCTTATATGTCTTAAATGATATGATGAATTGGAAATGGGGGACCCTGATGTAAACAAGACGAAAGTATTTCTCTGGTCTGCATCCCCTTAACAATTGTATGTTTTGAGCTGTACTGTACCCAATATACAAGCTGTTAATACACTTTTCAATCAATTCAATCAAACAGTAAAAATAACAGTAGCATTTCAACAGGTTTTTGATATAATAAAAACTCAAGTTAGATACCGTTATTAATCAGCTGTAATTTTTTGTTTGTTTGAACTTATTCATTATAATTATTGTACAAAATGGTATAAGAATGCAAACTTAAATTGATTATAGTCTATTATCAATTCAGGTTAAGAAACTAGTGTTGCTTGCATCCTATTTTAAAGGTATTTATTTTTATACTCTACTAAAATGCAACAAAAAAAGGGTTTGATTCTATTAATCTATTTTTTATTTCACTTTGGCAGCAGATTCCTGTGTAGGTTCAGATCTGAGTTTTCTTATTAGTAAGCCTAATTTATACTTTTGTGAATAAACTCCAACTCTGTATCAACAACACTGTTGTGCAACTTCAGTTAAATACTTATATTTGTGTAAATTAGAAAGAGGTAAGATAAAGGATCTGCAGTATTTTATGAAGTATTCATCGTACAAAGGTCAGTTTTATACAAGTAGAAGTATGTATTTCCCTGGTAGTAGGCTGTCAGTAATGGCTACGCCTCTCTATTTGGACTGGTAGATCTCGGCAGACCGGCAACTTTAAAAGTAGCTCTCGGTTCAAAAAAGGTTGGGCACCCCTGCTGTAGACGGTGTGAAAGCGCCTATTGTTTTAAATAATGGTCGGAATGTGAGCCTTCTCAATTACCGTGGGACAGCAGAGAACTCTAAACAAAAATGTTCAATCAATAAAGTAACATCTTATCTTAATAATATCTTCATATTAATAATAAATCATACAGTATGTGTCCGAAAGGGAGCAGGAGGAAGCAAACACCAAAAAAAACATTACAAAAATTATACTGCATATTAAAGCAAACTATTGTAAAGGTAAAAGTATGAGCATAACAAATAAAGAAGTTTAAACATTTACATTATTATTATTATGTAATATATAAAGACTATATATTATTGAATTACAAGATTAGATATACTTTATTTGATCTAAAATATTGATGTTTTTTCGTTATACTGTAGTAGCCTGTGAAAACCATAATACATATTTGTTCAAATGCTCTTCACCAAAACACAACTGAAGTACTGAAAGTCCATGAAACTTGTCTTTCTGTATTTGTGAATGAAGCGCCATCTAATGGTTAAATCCTGAAATTGAAAATCTGGCAACGCCCTCTTGGAAAATAGTGGGAGGGCTTAACATTCCCAGCCGCTGGGATCAGTTGGGTGTTTGGCAGGAACCTGTTGGCTGGAGTCTTTTCTAGAGTGCTACATCTGTATGTATTATTGCTACATAAACATTATATCGCAGTCTTATTGTCGCCAACTCGTTTCTAATATGCAAAAAGAAGAAAAAAAATGCGTCTATGGTGTATTTTCGATCTTTCCAATCCAGACGAGATCTCTCTCTCCCCCTGTCTGTGTGCGAGGGGGCGGGGCAGTTTACAAACACGTGGCTGCTACATCAACACACTCTCACTCCCTAAGCGTCCAGGAGCGACGCTTGGTCAGGGTCCCGTGGCGTCCAGTTGGGACGCGTCGAGGCTCCTTCAGCTTCATAAATGGACGCAAAGAGCTTTCAACTGATTGCAATGTATTCCCATCGGCGGCGGTATTTGACGCTCATGGAAGCACCGCATCCATTTATGTCGGCAGCTCTTAAAGGCAATGTGAGCGTCCATTCCCATTGGATAACGGAGAATTGTACACCCGGAAGTAAGTATTCTCCTTACTGTTGATTGATTTGACAGTGATATCTGCACTACTCATCGACTAAAAAACACCAGATTACCTTTGTTAATTAAACGACATTGATAGGTTTAAATTGTGTACAATGCTTTTGTGTTTGTCCCCTTCAATTCTGAGAAACAACTTGTTTTCTCTGAAATGTGGAGCGCCAAAGAGACTACACTACCCACAATCCCTAGCTATTGTTGTGACGACGCCTGTCCGCTTTGCGACAAACCCTGTGATTAATCTTCAAGCTCTGGGATTGGATGTTTGAGTGGCAGTGCGCCAAGGTTACGCCGAGCGTCAAGCTCTTTGAAATGGAACGAAACCACGGCAGACTATTCAAAACTGGACTCCAACGCCCCCCCAGAACTACACATGCTGGCTATTGTGTTTCGCAACATGTTCTCTATGGCACGTCTCTACTGGGAATTGTAGTTATTCCCAAAATTAGAAGTTGACAGTATTAAACTGTGTACAGCCCTGGGGCCTCATTTATAAAAGGGATATACGCACAAAAAATAGCGTACAGCAGTTTCTACGCAATGTTTGCGATTTATAAAATACTAACTTGACGGGAAAATGTGCGGTCCTCCACGCAAACTCTAACCCATGCGTACGCACTAAGCACAAAAATGGGAGAGACGAGAAACTGCGACACCGTTGGCAGAAGGAAGAATGGAGAG